ATACTACCAAAAGACTGGTTTACTCTTGGAGGGAGTCAGTGCAATATGCTGCAATTGGAGGAGAAAACCCTGCAAACATTGCTGTTGTCTCTTGTTCTTTACCTGGTGTTTTTGTGTTGACCATCATTTTTGGATGTCCAGTGTGACTGGCTGGGCAAGCAATTGAGATTTTCTCTAACTTGTGAGGATGCCTTCATAGGATTTTATGAATGCCTTCATAGGACTTTATGAAACACAGGAGGTGAGGTAGGTGTGAGCAGTCTAGACCTGCCAATAGAGTGCCAAAATGTGTTCTACTTGCTCAAATGTATTTCAGCAGAGTTCATCGATATTAGACCTCAGATAAGATGTGTGACACCAAAAACCCTGATGTGATAGTTAGGTTTATTGTGCCAACTAGGGCAATAGGGGCATGTGGACAGAGATGAATCAGGTCACAGCTTGATTGGAGGGCAACGGCATCAATGCCTCTGCAAGGCGGGCTCCCTCTCTTGCTCCCCGGTGATCAGACCATTGTGCTGCTGCTTTAGCTAGTTCTCTGCCTCAACCTGCGTGTTGCACTACCTGAGGGCCAAGCCAACTTGAGGATCCTGCAGCTAGAGCTTGAGACTCCTTTGAGACTTGTTTTGGCACGCTGCTGATGCATACATCGCTTGAGCTTGAGACTGATGGATCCTGTTTCTGTGTATCATTTGAGTTAGAGATGCCGTCATGGCATGCTTCATTGATTTCCTATGCTACTGACTGTTGCTGACCCACCCTGCTTGTCTGCTGCCTACAGGCAGATTTTGCCTGTCTTGCCTGAGGGAAGACTCCACTGTCTGCTTCCTTGACCTTGGACCCAGCAGCCCACGTAAGTTGAAGAATTTTCAGTATATTAACTGTTCCATGAAAGTCAGTTAGACTGAGCCCTCTGTACTGCTGTGTGGACTAATTAGCCATTATATTCCTTCTTGCTGTATAAGCCAATCCTCATATAGATAAAATAATAAGTGTCCTGGTTTTGTCTCTCTAGAGAACCCTACCTAACACACCCACAGAGTAATTACTTTCCTTTGCCTGCAGTGTTCTCTATCCTATCTGAGGTCCTGGCTATACATTATCACATTATTTTAGTTAACATTATTCTGGATGCCGTCTTCTAATATAAAAACTACTGTGATGTGTCCTTCCTTAGGAAAATGAAAAGTTTGTGGAATTTTTTTCATAGAGCTTGTGGAAATTTTTCATTATCTTTTAATTCCATTTTCAAGGACTTTTTTTTTAAGCCTTTCATATAATAAATGAGAGAAGATAAGGTTTGAGAAAACAAACAAAAAACTCATCACTTAAGATAAAAAGCCTTCATAAATCAAGAAATAATCAAATTGAAAATACTAAGAGCCCAATAAAGTGACAAAATGAAAAAGAACAATAACGGTAATTGAAAATGATGAATTATGGTTATTAAGCTTTATTTTGCTATCTATCTCATTCTTAGTAAATACTAGTATAATATCACATAGTAGGAAAAGAACCTGAAGACTTTCTGGTACACATCACCTTGTAGGAAGGCATTTTGGCAATATGTTTATAAAATAATACAAAGAATTACCAGTGAATACTTGGAATTCTGACCATGCATGAGTTCCTAGCAAAATATAAATTATGAAAATTGAACCAAGAAAAGTACATGGTTTGGACTGATCCTTTAAAACAGAAAAATAGCAAGTTCCTATGGATAAAAAGAACAGAAATACATCTAACTTTTAATTACTATATAGATTCCATTTTAAATACAAATTATGGATAATATTATGAAAAATAGAAATGTCAGAAGACCTCACTGAAGTTCTGTGGAACCCGCACATAGACCAAGAGGCAACTATTGAAACAAAACACAGGAACATTGCACACCTTCCTATCAGAGAAGAAAAGGGAAGCATCGGAGTTGTATCCTTTCTTATTCAATTTCTATGCTGAGCACATAATGAAAGAATCTGCACGATATAAGAAGATCACAGGATCAGGACTGAAGGAAAGGTGTACAGGTGACAACCTGGTTGGTGACAGTGAAGACAGCTTGAGGGACTTCTTGATGAAGATCAGAGACCATGGCCTTCAGAGAGATTATCCCACAACATAAAAGGGGGAAAGTCCCCCAAAGCAGACCAATTAGCAACATCACAATAAATGGAGAAAAGATTGAAGTGATCAAGAGTTACATTTCCATGATCAACGCTTCTGAAAGCAGAAGTCAGGAAGTCAAATGTCATATTGCATCGGATAAATGGACTGCAGAAAACCTATTTAAAGTATTACAATGCAATGATGTCACTTTGAAGACTAAAGTACAATGACCCAAGCCATGGTATTTTTAGTCACCTTATATTGCATGCAAAAGCTGGACAATCAGGAAGACTACAGAAGAATATTAATTACCAATTCATCCTAAAAACACACACCAATTAAATCTTCATAACTGAACTGATAGGTACCACAATGATAAATGGAGAAAGGACTGAAGCTGTCAAGGATTTCATCTTGCTTGGCTCCACAATCAATGTCCATGGAGGCAGCAGTCAAGAGATCCAAAGATGTATTGTGTTGAGTATATCTGCTGCACAAGACACCTCCTTGGAGTATTGCAAAGCAAGGATGTTACTTTGAGAACTAAGGTGTGCCTGGCCCAAGCCATGTCATTCTCCACGGTATCACATGGATATGAAAGCTGGACCTTGAATAAGGAAGACTGAAGAAGAATCGATGGGTTTGAACAGTGGTCCTGGCAGAGAATATTGAAAGTACCATGGACTACTGAAAGGAAAAACAAATTTGTCTTGAAAGAAATATGACTAGCGTGTTCCTAAGAGATGAGGATGGAGAGACTGCATCTCACATACTTTGGACGTTTTCAGGGCAGACCAGTCCCTAGAGAAGTAGACGTCAGTCCCTGGAGAAGGACATCATGCTTAGCAAAGTAGAGAGGTAGCTTGGCTCAAGGTCAGTGAAAAACAGGATTGGCACTGTGGCTGCAACAATGGTATCAAACTTAACAATGATTGTCAGGATGGTGCAAGATTAGGCAGTGTTTCATTCTGTTGTACATGGGTCACTTCGTGAGTCAGAACTGACTTGGCATGGCCTTAGTGGTTATACATTGGGCTGCTAACTGTGAAGTCAGTAGGCAAAACCACCAGCTGCTCTGAGGGAGAACCAGGGCTTTCAACTCCTGTAAAGAGGTACAGTCTTGGAACGCTCCCACGGGCAGTTCAACCTGTCCTGTAGGGTTGTTATGGGTCAGAATTTGCTGGATGGTACTGGGTTTTTTGGTTTTTGTTTTGTTTTTGTTTTTTAACCCAGATGGGGCAGTTCTACCCCGTGGCACTGAGTCTGAATAATTCTGGAGTAACAAGGCCATAGAAAAAGATGGGAAGCATTTTTATTCAGGAGCATAACTGTATTATGAAAACCTGACTTAAACAACAGGAGAAGATAAGGTTTTCTTCTCCCTTCTCCCAACAGCAGTTACAGTTTCAGAAAGCCACAGGGCTGGTTCACTCCTGTCTTCTAGAGTGGCTAGGAGTCTGATTCTACCCAATGACAGTGTTCTTTCTGTTCCCAGAAACTGGAATCTTAACACCAAAATGAAGTGACCATTACTAGAGTATTCATTTATCCATGAAGCTAAGTCACAACAGCAATCCAGCTACATACATTGCAAGTTTTTTCATAGTATCACTCTTTTTTAAAATGTCATTTTAATCACTGGAATTGATTGCCTTTAATGTTTGCTATGCTGTAATGGTGTAATCCACTAGATTGCAAATGACTGGCTGGGACTATTCGGTCTAAAGTGTTCATTTCCCAAATGTATTAATTAGGTCAGTAAAGATATATGCAACCTCCCCTTTACTTGCCTCATGAAAAAACTCTCTTACCAGGAGATATCGTTAAATTTATCCTTAGCACCTTTTATATACAGTTGTGTAATGAACTCTAGTTTGCCTTAGCACATAAGGAAATTGGGAACTGGCAGTATTTCTTTTCTAAAAGTAGCATATGCATACTCTTGGTCCTTTTATTGATGATTCTCCTATTTGTTTTCAGCTCTACTTTTTTCCCTTGGAATAGTATTTTGCTCATTCAAAATAAAAATGAGTGTGATGCAAGGACTTTGTCTAAACTTAGGATGCAAATTATTCTAATGAAAGTGTATCATTCAATCTGTGTGTTAGCCCTCTACTAATCTATGTGACTAGTATTAGACACATTAATAAATGGGTAACAGAAAGGCAGTCAACTTTTCTGATAAAAAGGAAAGATCTTCCCTTCCCTGACTATGGAATAATACACTAACAATAAACATTGAAGGACTGAACAATGAGGAGACAAAGCATTAAGAAGTAAAGCATTTCAGGTAACTTTGAGGTTGTTTTGAGCAGGCAAGGGAAGCAGTGTGTCAAATATTAGTGATAATCTACAACCAGAATCTGCATATTGTCAGCCAACAGTCTTTTTTTCCTTAAAGATGATTTTTTTTGAGGATTATTTTACAAATTACTCCCCTAAAATAGTTGCCACAGTTCTGGGCCTGTTACTCTCTCAGCTAACAGTTCCCCCCAAAATTGACTGTACATTTAAATAAGGATTATTATAAAATGTTTTTCTTTTATGAGATATTTATAGAGTGGCTCCATTTCACAAATTAGTATATATTCCCTATGCAACCTAATCAAAGAACTGTCTGTTTTTTCTCAGAAAATCTACTCTTACTTTTGAGTCATAGACAGTAACACCATCTGAAATGAGTGGCCATTCAGGAATCTGTTTTAAAGTATCAGCCAGATTTTTATTTTTCATGCCAAACTTCAAGTCATGTGAGCTTATTTCACCATTTTTAATACAAAAGGCAATTATGCAAAATCAACCATCTGAATGGTTCTAATTTTCAAAACTAGAATGAAATGCACATAATTTATTTATATGTAAGCACAAATAACTGCTACATACACCTGAAATCATTTATTCAAGGCATTTTTATAGCATCTTGCAATCCTAGTACAGACATATAAGAAAAGATTACGAGAGTACAAAGATACAAGCCAGTGTCTGGGCACTTAACATAAGAACTCTTCAGAGGAGTTACAGAGCTTTTACAGAGAGAGTTCCTGAAAATACTGGGCTGGGATTCAAACTTTATTGAAAACAGAATACCAAGTGACATGTCACTGGTTTTGCTGCAAAGAGTTATATATTAATTGTTTCTATCTTGTAAGTTAGGTCTTAATACATTTTACATTCAAGTTGAAATAATTCAGCACCATTTTTAAGGATAAATGAGATGCTTGAAAGGTTCACATGTGGCCCAGGTTACTGTGGATGAAACTGAATTTGATGACTGAATATGCTGATTGCAAATGTAAATTCTAAACACACAAACATGGAAAGGGGATAAAGCTATGTTGTCCATATCAAAATGTTATTTTTCAAAGAAAACATCTATTAAGATTCAAGATCTTTGCCCAATAGGCTCATGTTGTTTTCTACTGAGCACAGGGTTACAGAGAGACGGACCGATACAATGCACCCAACACCACGCTGAAGCTTCTCCAGGACACAGGTGACTGCAATGAACTGCATGTTTACTAGAGTACAGATGTTCAGATTATGCTTTCAGGGTTCAAAGAGGGGGGGATGTTCATTATCACAATGGTTCCTACTAAATAATTAGACATTTAAAATACAATTTTTACCAAAAAAATTAAAATTTCCTAGAAATTGGCAAGCTGTATATTAACGTGTTAGATTGTTACTGTTGTGGAACTGAATCAGTCTCAAATGTCGAGATTTTTAATTCAGACGGGGCTCTGAATTGTGAGTCCCCTAACATGGCACATGAGTCTCAGAAAATTATTTTTCCAACTCAGTCCATTTGGCTATAGCCTTCATTAGCTTAAGAGTCTCTTCACGGTACCAAGTCTTATTTTTGTTGTTGCTTATTTTACTTCCTATTTCTATTTTACAAAATGCCTTCTTTAAGGCTCATTAATTGACAAGCTCTGAATTTTGATCCTGTTAAAGGTTCTAAAATTTTGACCGATAAATCAGTAGTTGTAAGTTATTTGATAGTATTTAGGAGTGACAGAGAGAACTGTTTATAAGGTATAAGAATCTTTAGCTTCCTACTTAATTATATTTTCAAAACAATCAACCAAATGTTAGGTGTTATATTTAAAGGTAGACAATTTAAGGATTGGAAATATATTTTTAATTAATAGTACATTATGTGGATGTCATATTTAATGTTTAACTTACTTTAAAAAATAAAATATGTTCATGAAAAACAAGTGTCTACAATGGAAATTGTACATAGTTATAGTTTGCCTAGAATAAGAGACAATGAGCACAAGGATGGCAATGTTTTGAAATGCTCGTTGAGGTCAGGTGTAGCCTGGTATAAATGCATTAGGTTCTCCAGAGAGAAGGTCCAATGCAGTGATTCAAAATGTGTCCAAAGGCCCTGGTATTGCTTACTTTTTCATAAAGGGAAAACACTCTTCATAAAACAATAAACCCTAATTCTGAAGATGCCAGTCTGGCTCAGTACGAATACTGACAGTAGTTTTTCAGTCTTTTTTTTTTAAGCAAGTATATTAAAATATTTCTATTGGAAAAGATTAAAAATTTGAAACGCTCACTCCACAATCTTAAAACTATAAAGCCATTTAAGGCAAAGAAGCATATTAGAGAAGTTATTCCGTAGCACAAGTGATGGTTTGATGAAAGTTCTGGATCTCAATCAAGCTGCCTATCTTCTTGATTGGTGAGTCCCCTGGTGGAGAAGGGTGTGTACTAGCCTTGTGAGGACTGCCCATCTCTCTTTAGCCCCTGTTGCCCTGCTACGTGCTCACGGAGTACAGGAAGATCATTAGGAATAACTAACTGTTGACTTTTCGATTCTAGAGGGATGCCATCTCTCTTTGAAGACTCAGCTTCGTTCTGGCACTGCGATAGCTTACTTGAGATTTCAATACTGGCTGTTTCTATATGCAAAACTTCTGCTCCAAGCACCTCTAACTTAAAAGTGAAATTAGATTTCTTTCAGCACCTTCCGAAAATTTTCAGAAAAAAGAGATTCTCCAAGTTCTGTGGTGGCACATGATTTCACAGTTTAACATAAAATCACAGCTGTCTCACTACACAGCAAGCACACAGTCCTCGGCTTTCCAGCATGTCGTCTTCTGCCCTGTTCACCAAAGCCTGAAGGATATTATGTGCTTTGGTAATTTGGACTGTATTTCACATCCACACAGATAATCATGTGTGACTGATTCCTGAATGATGTGGAATGATGTTCTTGTACTGTACCCACATTATATCATCTATTGTGAATAATTATAAATTCCTTAGCATCCCTCTTTTTAGTAGCTGAACCAGAAATATTCTCATAAAATATTTAAATAAAGGTCTAAAATGCTAAGTTTTTTTTTCATTGACTCTTTGAAAGTATTGTAGAGACAGCTGTGATTTGAGGGACGTGTCAATGATTTGTACGCCAGCGAGTAAATATCCCTTTGATTAATACTTCAATACGCTTCAAGTTCAATCGCTGGGCAAATTCACATCAGTCTTCAGAATGACTTCCCATTTACAGTTGTCCCACACGTTCTCTCTCATCAGAATGGCTTCTCATGTATAGTTGTCCTACATATGCCAGTCCCCAGAACAGTCGTAGAAGAGTATCATTTGAAACGCCTCTGCCATAGGAAAGCTCAAGGAGCATGAACGAATCTCAGCGGAAATCAGGCAGCTCGACTGTGTGATACATTCCTACACAAAAGCTGACTCGAGTTAGAATGAAATTGTGCACTTGACAGAAAGGAAGTAGTTTATCTACTAATTTAAAAATGTAAACATAACATTTATCTAGGGGTGTTACCTATCTGAATACATATACTGCCATTTCTCTGCTATATGATAATATTTTGCAACACCTATGACAATGTGTTTGTTTCCTCCTCAGCACCAAATGTGTCCATGTATGTTCAAGCAGTAGGAGCGTCATCTCTAAATCGATCTGCACTAGGACATACATGTCACTTGTTGTTATTTCAAGGAAATGTCGGCATTTTAGAAATTTCTCAACTCAAATGATTTTGATTAATCCCATGAAATATGTTCCCTTTCGGCACTATAATGTTAGCAGAAGGACAAGAAAGCTGAATTTCTTTGAAAGAGCCAAATGTACCACTATAGAATCAAAACATTATGTTAATTCACAGTTATGTGAATTTTAAGTATTAAAACTTTCCCAAATAATGCCGATTTAAATGTTCATAATCCAGTTATGTGCTGTGTTATAATACAGTACAAACAAAAATCCCTTTGCTGTTTTCTGCTCTCTTTTTTCCAAACACATACATCCTACTGAAGTTAATTTCTTTTTCCCACTTTAGAACACCAGGCACTGATCCACTGGGCGATTTGGCTTGCACTTTAATACCTAGATTAAGGAAAACAAACAAACACACACACAAACAAAAGGGCAAATTATTAACCTGATTATGAATGAGTACAATAGACACATTTAAAATTAATCTTTTAAAAACTTTATGCAACAATTTCCCTCCATTTTAGCCATAGTTGCCTGATGCACATATGCACAAGTACATTGATTTTGTTAATGGTTTGAAGAACGCGGTTCTGTGCCAGTACAAAGAGAGTATAATGCCTGATGCCTATTGTCCAGATACTCAGGTTCAAGGAACCACCCTCTGGAGCCATCAACAGCAAAGCACTAGCAGCCCTGCCCAAGACTTACTTCATTGTGAAGTAAGTGGGTCTTTTCTCCCAAGCATGGCGTCTGCACCATCTTGTATTAGACCTTTTTGCAATAATCAAATGTTCTTATATTTAACCCGTCATTATAGATGTCAATGTTAAGGAAGTAAGATGCCCTTAACCCAAATCAGAAACCAAGGATTTCTATACCCAGCCAGTTGTGTGAGGAGAAAAGAACATAATTATAGGATCTTAAAACAGGAGGGAACCTCAGATGTCCCGGACATCTTTCACTGACAGTGAGAAAAATAAGAGAGAAGGTATCCGTGTTTTACAAGCACACATCTCCTTACCGGGTGGTTTTATACCCACACTGAATGTTCTACTAAATGAAAGGGGGCAGTTTCAAATCCACCCAAAGGTCCCAGAAAGCAAGCTCTGGTGATCTGTGCCTAAAGTCCTGAAAACCCCAGAGAGCACATTTTTACGCTGACACGCAGGGGGTCACCGTGACAGCAACTGGCTGGGTTTGACTGTTCTCCGATGTTTGATTGACATGAAGCATGCGCAGTTAACGGAGACAGCTCTGTCCATTCTAGTCAGGTTAATGACTGCTGTACACACTGCTCTTCAAGCTGCCCTCGGACTGACCACCCAGCTTTAAGCAAGGTACACCCTCTGTTCAGGAAACCTGAAACCCGCACCAGTCTCCAGAATGAAGTTCAAACTTCTGGCTTGCTGTGTGCTTCTCTCTTTGGTCTAATCTCAACTTACTTTGCCACCCCTGATGCCCACCTCATCAAATATGCGCTGTGGCGGGAACACTGGGTTTTCCAAACACCCCTGTGCTTTCCCCTAGTGCAGCGGTTCTCAACCTGTGGTTTGTGACCCCTTTGGGGGTCAAACGACCCTTTCACAGGGGTCACCTAATTCTTAACAGTTGCAAAATGACAGTGATGAAGTAGCAACAATAATAATTGTTGTTATGGTTGGGGGGTCACCACAACATGAGGAACTGTATTAAGTGTCGTGGCATCAGGAAGGTTGAGGGTTGCCCTGCTGTTGGCTCCTTTTAACTCTCCCTACCTACCATCCCCCAACTCAGCCTTCAAAGGCCCATGCCAATGTGACCCTAGAAGCCAACAGAATCTCTCTTTCCTCTGAACTCTGCACCTCTGCGAGGGGGGCCTGAGAAGAAAGTAAAAGTATATGCAGCAAATAAAGGTGAAGGTCTTGTATTACTTGAGGGGGCCTTTTTATTTCCCAGGCAAGTGTTTTGCATGAATTCTGTTCTTTCCACTCAGCACATGTATAATCACTTCATAGGAATAATAAGTTATAACAACTTATCATAATAACTTATTAGGATTCTTCAACTGCGGAGAATTTAACTTTTTCACATTTTAATCTGATCGATATTGCCCACAAAATTCCACCCCCGCCACAACTGCTATTGAGTTACCACCAGTGACACGTTGTAAGAAGAAGCAATTCTACAGGAATTAGTAATCAAGACATGGCTGAGTTTTGATGAGTTCCATTGAATTCTGGCAGCAGAATGACCTAAGTGTTTGCTCAAAGACACTGTCTTCTAGGTTTAAGACTGAGGGATTCCTTATGTAGAGTCATAACCCTGGAACAACGTAAAAACCTTTTTTTCGGTTCTAGATTCTTGGCAATACCCAATTCAGTGGAGTCTACTAATAAAGAGCAAGTGAGAGTCTACTCAACAACAGAGTTTCACTCCCCACACCTGTTCCAAGTGAGAAACTAACATTTAATTCTAGCCCCTATCTAAGAACAATTAGTCCTTATGACGTGGCCCCGCTCAATGCTCACCCTCATAATGAGATCCTTGATGATATGGGTGCTACAGTAAAGTGTGGTGAAGAAACAGATGGTTCCCAGCTTCTGGGGTCTTTAAGGCTTGTCTCAAACAAGTAGCCACCTAAGCAAGGCATCTACTAAATCCATGGAAGAAGCACGCCAGCCTGGATGATCCAGGATTGTAAATAATAAAATCCAAATTCAAAGGAGGGAATGGTATACAAGCTGCCATTGGCTTTATCTGTTTCTCATGCTAAGTACAATGGCTAAGCTCCTCCACGGGAACACGGAAAGGTTGCCTCTTCAGAGTGAGTGTAGCTCTGAGCCAAAGTACAACGGTTCTGGGGTGGTAATGGGATAGATTTCTGAGCATCTATTTTCCTTGCTAAGGGACCCAGATATAGGACAAAACCTGCCCAGTCACATTAGGTGGTGAAATCTTGGTTTCTAGAGAACAGGGTTTCTTTGGATGCATATTTTAAGGCAGTGATTTCCAAAATGTACTTTAAAAGACCCTTGGACTTGCTTTAGAGCTCTGTCTGGGACTGCTGCTGTTGCAGGGAGAGCTGGAAGCCCAGCTGTGAAGGCTCCCAGGAGTCCACTAACACTCCCTATTAAGAGCAATTTTTCATATTAAGCTTTTTGGGTAAAGAATGTGCTCTGTGTGCATGTTTTGGCTTAGAAACTAAGACTCGGGATAATAAAAACTTTAGTATGTCCCCCTTTCCCTACCATTAGCAAAAGAAAGATCATGGTTAATTGAATGATAATGCAGACCCTATACCATTATCAATTTTGGTCCATTTTATAAGGAAGGCACAGTGTTAGTAGAGGAAATGGATGTGTGTTAGGGGTCATATCTTTGGGCAAACTAACACTCATAATGAAGAAATTCTGATCTAGGCAAATAGGACTTACGGCGAGATTGTGCAGCCGGACGCATACGCATGATGGCCTGTGTATCGAACTTCACATCGCACAACATTGTTAGAATAGTCTGACTCTGGCACCAGGTAGCTGGGATTCACACTGACCTAGGCAAGACAGACAGCATTGATGAGTCAGATTCCATTAGCCACATTTACTGGTTGATTTGTTTCTATTCATAGGGACTAGAACAAGAGGACGTGGTTCAACTAAATCAAGTGGGGAGTGGTGTTTTAGTTCGACTAGATAAGTTTTGGAAAAGATATAATAGAGGAAGAATATGCACCATCTCTGAGGCTCTTGAAAATAAAAATAAACATTCCACATTTATCTAAGTCTAGGTTGGTTTAGAAGTCATTCTTGATGCCTTACAATTGCTTTTAGGGCCATGACTATGTAGCATTTGAATCCAGAAGAAACGGTATTGATTTGCCTTCTAAATAAATAACAGGTGCATACTTTCAAAGAGCTCTACCTTGAGAATGTAGTTTCCTGGTTTTACATCTGTAATATCAATCCACTGGCAGTCAATGTCTGCATTATAGGTATCGTAGCAGCCAGGACTCAACCCCTAAAAAAAAAGAAAAGAAAAGTTTAAGAATTTAAAAGACAATATATGGTCAAAATATTCTGAAAAATAGACTGGTCTTGAAAATTAAACCTTAAATGAGTACTTATGACTTTGACAGAAAATTATTGCGTCTCTCTTAAAGAGTGCATATTGCTCAGCCTTGACCATATATTAGTCACTTGAAAAGTATATATTACTTAGCCTCCAGCTGCAAAAGATTTAACACTAATAAAAGTAGTGGTTCACTTAGCTTCTTTAGTAGTGTAATAAAACATCACTGGTAAATAAATAGAATTGTAAGTAACAAAATAGGCTTCTACCAAAATTATAGACTATTATCAGCTCAAAAATAAGGTTTTTTTAATAGTGAATGTGGATCAGTCAGACAAATTTCAGTTTCCCCTCTTGGAAATTACTCCCTGTGTTAGTCTGGGTACTTTAGAGAAACAAATCCACAGTAACTCATGTATAAGAGAGAGTTTTATATAAAGGTTAAGTGCACATCAAGAAAGCATCCCAACCCAGTGCTGCCCAAGCCCATAAGTCCAACATTAACCCATATGTTCAACACCAGTCCACAAAGTCCTCCTCCATCTCACAAAACAACGAAATGATGCTGCCTGCAGGAGGAAAGCTGAATCAGTGAATGTGTAAACATCTCAGCGCTGGCAGGGGTCTCCCCATGGCTGCTCCAGCACCTAGGGCTACATCATGTGGCTTCTCCTCATGGATGTCTTATAGGAAGTGAGCCTTGCCAGCTAAAGCAGGGAACTGGCTAAGGCACCTGCACCCTGGTCCAACCATCAGAAAGCAAGAGACCGGAGAACTCTAGAAGTGAGGCTCACTGAGCCATTTAGCCCTCCACCCTTCAATTAACCCCACGTATTTATTGGCCAGGTTGGCACAATAAACTAACTACCTCACTCCCCAGTCCCTGAATGCCCA